GTTAGTGAAGACTAAATACTCATATTTTCTGGACTCAAAGTTCTTTTAGATATTATAAATACATGCTTTAGAAGGTGAAGTGTTGCTTTTCATACATACACAGAAAAGCCGAATTCTACATTGATTTCTATGAAGAGCTTACCCTGTGGAACCTCCATTTCCTCTCCCCGTTCTACCCTCAAACACTCTCTGTTCCTTAAGGTTTTCCCCAGAATGATCCTCTAATTACTTTATTACTTCCACATGCATGTATAATTACACTATATCAACTGGCATTAACAATTTTGTTTTAAAATAATTTTTAGTATACAAGCTATACTAAGTGGCTCTATGTAAACTGATGCTAAAAAATGTTGACAAGGTCAATTTCCTTCATACATGTTTTTCTGGCCCTGAACTACCTGAATGTTCTAGGCAAACAGATAGAACACAGATATACATATCTATTTTAAAAGACAAAATATTTTTCTCCATAATATAGGCTTGACCACATGGTTCTGGAGGAGAACCATGGATTCTTTTCATAAGTTAAAAAAAATTGAAAATAAAAAAGATTGTAAAATTCTAGCCAATATTTTAAGTGTGTTATCTCAAAATCACAGGGGGTGCTGTAGTTTGGATTTCAAATGCCCCCCAAAAGCCGTGTGTTAAAGGCCTGGTTGCCAGCCTCTTTGCACTACTGAGAGCAGCAGAACCTACAGTGGAGGGCCCTCAGGCAAGGTCACTGGAAGTGTGCCTTGAAGGGACACTGAGAGCTCTGTCTTTCTCTCTGTCCCACCACATGCTCCAGCCATGATGTTCAGCCTTACCACAGGCCCAAAACAACAGGGCCCAGTGACTATGCACTGAAACCTCAGACAATGCAGGTCAAAATAAACCATTCTTGCTTTTAAGTTGATTTTCTCAGGTTTTTTGTCACAGTGACAGAAAGGAGACTAACACAGTTGGTAAAGGACCATTACAGATCTACTTAGCATCTTCTGATGGACTGTTTTCTCATTCTGAATCCATTCATAGAGGGTAGCACCAGCCGTAGGCCAGTAATGGTCTGTGGTCCAGAGGCTGGAGACCCCTGATGTAAACCATTCTACACAGAAATAATACCTCGGGGCTAGAACTGTCACAAAGATCTTCTTACCCATTAATCAAGAAAATGCTAAAATGTATAACAACTCAAGTATTGATCACTGAACAACATCTTGATCAAAGCTTAAAGCACAAGGCCTTTAATTCACCTATTTCTCTTCCAGAACTCTTATTCTAAATAAACACTAGCATATAAAAAACAATTTGTACTATATTACCTCATTTTAGAGATGAAAAATGTATTTGTATGTGTATAATTTAAAATTCCATAGAAACACATCTAAAACAATTGAATGTAGAAATGCTGATAGCCACCCTTCTGAAGAGGAAAGGGTGAGCAGAGCATAAGGTGGGGGCTACACGTATTGCTCCTCATACTGCTGTGTTACATGAATCCTTTCTAATAAGAATTGATTTGTGCACAACTTTTTAAAGTAAAACAAAGACTACAAACTACATCTTATTATGAATGGAATAAAAGAAAAAGGAGCTTGGAACACACATGGCCACTGAGAGACAAGAAATACAGAGTGCCAAATTCCTTTTCTTGGGCTTCTTCCTAATTTGTGTTCAAGTGCCAGGTCATCATGCACACTGAACAAGCACTCTGCCATGAGCTACAGCCCTAGCACCCTCACCCGTCATGGTGCTAACTTCCTGCAGATCACTACCCATCTGAGGCACATCCTTTCTGCTGACACATCATAATGCACTTGATTAGATTATCCTTTTTCTTACTGTAAGGCTATCTTCAACCACCAGAGAACACCTCCCAAATCCTCAAAATAGAATTGGCCTTTGTAAACACTCACTAACCATACAAATAAATCACCTCTTAAGCTTAGTTACTAAAGCAAACAATATTCACACACACTCTCTCTCTCCCCTAACAGCTTTTAAACAACATAATTTAACAATGATAGCCTAAAGAGGGTCTTCTCCAAGGCAAAATTTGAAAACCTGAAAGGAGTATAAATTATGACAAAATGTGGAAATGAAGTTATCTCTGTGATAAAATTTGAAACTTGAGAAATAGCATTTTATCAGAAATTTGACAAAATTAAGAAAATAAATTCTAGTGAAAGCACTCTGGTGACATGAATGAGTCAGGAGTGGCTATCTACCCAAAGTCTGCTGTATGTTTCTGGCACAAGGGAACCTCTCCCTCCATGTGGGGCATCAGACCACATATCACCGCATGTTTTCAAGTTCTCACCTTTCCAAAGGCAGAGGCTCCAGCACAGATGTGTGTGTAGCTGAACTGCTTCTGCGTGGCCATGACCAATGGTGTTAGCTCCTCTGACAGGGAAACACACAGATAAAACACACTGCGTGACATTTCCTATTATTTTATATATTCAGGTAGGACTCAGGCACTATATTCTCCCACTAAAAATCCTCACCTGGAAGCAGGCCTTGGTAGGCATCATGCTGAGCCACCAGAACTTTCGCTATCCCTGCTACTTTACAGAGATCTTGTACCACCTGTAATTAGAAAGAGTTACCAGTATCCATCAGAAATACCCCAATACAGTAGAGTCACCAGTGAATATCCACAGACCATTAAATCTTAAAAAGGAAAAATAAAAATCATTCCAATTAGCAAAAGGAACCATGTAGAAACTCTTTAGTGCTTTTTCAATTCTTTAACAAAGAAAATCTCCTGCCAAGTGATTGGCATGATTACTGGATTGATCATATATAGTCCTGAAATTAAAGATTTCAGCAAAAATTCTGCCTTGACCAACACAAAAAGATCTTTTAGTCAATTCAAGGGTAATTTTATCAATTTATCAATGGTAAAACTGAGATATTCTCATTCTTTCTCTCATATTTTCTCTCTCTTTTTCTCTAACACACCATGTGTTAGACTTCAGGTTTCCTAAAGGTAAACATCTTACTTTATAGTTTACTGCACTTTATTTTACAATAGTAATTTCTGTTGATATATAAAATTAATACCCATAAGCATCAAAGCAAATCTTACATTGCAACCCACTGCCCACCACCAAGTTTGAGAAAGCTTTGGACCCTTTGAATTTTCCATAGACAGAAGGCAACGAGAACCCTCCCTTCCTAGCATACATCATGACTGGTTTCCACTCCTCAGGGCATGTCAGTGTCTCCTGTTGGTTTTCCACTTCCTGGCTGCTTTACTGGTCACTGACGAGTGGGCACCAAAGCCTATGCCTCTTGCCCCTCCATGGACTATAAGGCTCAAGAATATTCACTGGAGAAAAGACCAAGTGCCACATACCTCTGCTGGGCCAAGTGTTCTCCAGTACGTGGCCCTGCACACAGGGCCCCTTGGAATGGATGCACCTAGGTTCAACTTCCCTAACTTTAAGAGAATTTCCAGTTAAGAAACTCAGCTAATTCCAAAGTAATGATACAGTAGCCCTGGATACAAAATAGGACAGAAATTTCCCATTAAAACTATCATTTACTGCCAAGAATTACCGGCACTACACGAAGAATCATTTTCTATTTATGATAAATAGCCAGGGAAAACAGTATAAAACTGAAATCTCCATAGACTATTAACAGGTATCCATTGTTTTTAACTGAGCCAGCCATAGTGGCATACACCTGTAATCTCAGTACTTGGGAGGCTGAGGCAGAGGGGCAACCTGGACTGTATAGCAAGTTCAAGACCAGCCTGAATCCTGAACTAGATAGTGAGACCCTGTATCAAAAGGAAAAAATAAAAAAAAAAATGGTTGTAGTTGAATAATTATCATTTCAAGGATTTTTAAACTAACATCAAAATAATTACTTAAAATCACAGCAAATCAAATATAACATCTAAACATGTGACACATGGATATAGATACAGAGATATATATCTCTGTGGTATACAACTGAAAACTGAGCAACCAAAAAGATAACCATATCATCAAACATTGTGATTAAAATCAACTATGTAAGATTAAATAGATGAATAGAAATTAGAGAAATACATATAACTAAACCTGCTAGAATATATTATTTTAAAATACCAATTTCTTTGTAAGGAATTAGAAATCACATTAGTTTTCTGAATACCTATTACAATCTGCATTGATAATTTAGTAAGAAATAAAATATTTTAAAAAGAAATACATGCTCTCCAGATGTATTTGTCTGTGAGGCCCAGCTGTACACTTAGCAACTTCTACACAGGATGAGAGGAGCAGGTGGCTCCTGCAGTGTAAGGGTAACTGAAGTGACATCTACCAGGCCACCAGCCCTGTAGATCTTGAATGCACCTCCCCAGGGGGTGGTTTGTAAACCTGTACCTATCTTATTTAACAACAAAAAACATGCACATCTTTTAGTACCACTTATAACTTGAAAAGAACAGTATTCACATTTAAATTCTTCTACCAATTAAAAATTAACACCCTTGATATTTTGTCCAGATTTACCACTTTCAGGAATTAGAAGTAATTAGCAAGCATATTCATCAATACAAAAAGGGATTGGCTATTAACCTCTATGGGGAATCAAACATTATCACTCTCCTTGGTATCTGATGGCACACGATGGTGCCAGGGGAACTAAATCAAGTATTCTACCTCATCTCAGAAGACAAAATGCTCAGTGAGCAAGCTTTTCAGCTCCTTCTTCGTGCATAGTAACGGCTGTGACGCTGGCCATATAATAAGGATTAGAGCCCACTTTAGGTTATAGCCCTCAGCATAATTCTCTGCTACCATCTATCCCTGTCTCTTGATGAAGATTGTATTTGCTATGGTTGACCTAAAAAATTTCTCACCTTGTCACATTTGGTTCCAGCTACTAAACAGGACACCTCACCTCCAAGGCGTCTGGCTGCAGTGATAGTGTTCAAAGTAATAGGTGCCAGGGAGTCATTCGCATGCTCAGCTATTACAAGGGTACTCTGAAATCGGAGCAAAGCGGCCTAAAAAGGAGAAAAAAAAAAAAAAAAAAAAAAAAAAAGGAAAACAATATTATCATAGATTTTTAAAAATCTAACTGTTAAGCATATATAACTTAAAAAAAAACCACTCTGTTATACTCAGTTCTATAAATGTGTTTATAAAATACTTGTCCAGTAGCAAAAATCAGGCTATTTGCATCTATCATTGTAATAACAATATCCTTGTCTAATATAAACTGAAATACAAATTAGTGGTTAAAAAAATTTTTTTAAGTAGGGCATAGTGGCACATGTCGATAATCCTAGTACTTTGGAAGGTGAAGCAAAAAGATAGCAAGTTTGAGCCCAGCCTGAACAACTCAGCACTTAGAGAGACACTGTCTCAAAATATAAAATAAAATAGGCTGAGGATATAGCTCACTTCAAAGGCTCTCGGTACAAATTTCCAGTACTGAAAAAAGACATAAATATTTCAAAACAGTTTCCCCACTAAGTTATATCCAATGAGTAACTGCTACATATTTAAATTTAAAATTCTTATAACTGTCAAATTAGAAACTCATCAAATCCTCTCAATTACATTCAGCTACACACTGGACTCCTAATCAATTACTAAAGTTGATTACTACTATGTCAGGCAAAAAGCATTCAATGCCAAAATAAATGAAAATGGAAATCTGTTTTAAAATATGACACTAGACAACAATTTTGATGAGGTTTCCACTGTTCAAATATACTTCTGAATACAGAAAAAAGCTATATACAGTATCTTACAACCAACCCTATCTAGTATAGATTATTAAAAGTTCACAGTCATCTGGAATAATTTCAAACACTAGGAACTTAAACCATAAAGTGAGTAACCTCCGCTGCTATGCCCTTCTGCCATGATGTTCTGTATAAAAGCAATGGAGTCACCAGCCATTGACCAGAACCTCTAAAACTGTGAAATGAAACAAATTTTCCTCCATTAAGTTGACTTTCTCAGATATTTTTCATAGCAAAGGAAACTCAATGGTTTCCTAACAGGGACTCAATGGTTTAACCAGTCTCTGTAGACATTTGGTTTACTCACAATTTTCATTATTATAAACAATGCAGAGAAAACAATCCTCATACCTAGACCTCTGCACTCAATCTCAACAGATGATACTCCCTTCTGCTATAGAATGATGTATTCTGACCAGAACAAGGCTAGACTTTACTCTGGCTGCTTTGCCTCCTTAAACTAGATTCTGGCCAACTGTCAACAAGGCAGGGATTTTTCTTCCCCAACACTGCTTGGCCCCATCATTGGTCCCACCTCTCTAAACTCCCCCACCTCCAATGAGCACAGTCCACAGCTAGGGTTGTCACATCTAGAGATGTGAGGGTTAGCCTTCCAGAGCTGGGAAGGCTTTCAGGGACATAATCCTGAGATAGGAGAAAAGTGAGGACATCATGGCAGGATATACCAGAGGACATAATCACTGCACTGTGGTGTTACTGGATGACATTTCGTGTCTTGTTCCTCCCTTTTTCATTCACTCAAAAGGAGAAAGAAAACGAGAGAACTTGACTTGTGGCTGCCAAATGAAGTACTTATTTATATAACATTTCCTTTTCTTTTTCTTACAAGTAAAAAATTTCCAGTAAGAAAGGAGGTTGTTCAAATTAAAGTAGAAATCTTTATGCACACCTTTAGATTCCTTTCCTATGAACAAATTCCTAGAAGTGCCAGGTGACAAGGTTGGCACAATTTCAACCTTTTTTGATAATGACTGACATAAGCTGTTCTTCAAAACATGTAGTAATTCACAATTCCTGAGTTGGAAAGTTCTTGGAAAGTAAATGGCATAGCTTTCTTTTTCATGTTCTCACAATCTGACATTACATTTTAAATGTATATCTACAGGATTAATTATATGGTACTTTGTTAATCAGAAGAGCACAATATCTTATAAAGGACTCTGTAATTAAGACTCAATGATATAATTTATGACTTAAATGATATTTCACAAAAATTGCTAGTAACAAACTATTAGCTATATATCAACACCATATGTTTTATTACATTTCACTCATCATTTACCATAAACATTATCATATTTCCGTCACTATTTGAAGAACAAATCCAAGATATGGTGGCACAAAGCCCATATTTGCTGAGAATTATAGTTCTATCATAAAATAAATTGAGTAGTCCTCCTAAGACACTGTCAAGTTTTTTTAGAACTTCCAGTGGGAGATTATACATGATTTTTAAAAAGACTGCTCAAAATGACATTTATGAGAGTAAAAAAACGACAAAAGAATCCACTCAGCTCACCTATCTGATCAGTGTTTACTAAACTCTACAAACATCATCAAGGCAAGGCATATTACTTTACTGGTTACTTTATACTTTTAAAAGCTTTTTCTATTTTGGTGCTTTACTTTCCATTTCTCAGACCATACAAAGAGAGGAGCTGCAACCGCTAGCATAGTTACGTGGCACAATTCCCTAGTAATGGTTATGTGAGCCTGGTGAGCATTCAGATGCTACTCCTCAATCCAGAGCCCAGGTTCCTCATATGTAAACTGAGGGAGAGGAACCAGACCAGAAGTTTTCAAACTACTTTTCATGAAACAGTTTCAGGAAGGCACCCAGGAACCACCACAAGGCACAAAGGTGGGACCTGGCAAAGAGCACTGCTAGAATGCACTTTTACACTTTGCTTTAACCTGATTAATGAACTCACATTTATAAAACACTGTACTAAGTAGTCTTATGGATCATATCATATTTACAAGTCACAAAAACTTGTATGATGTAGGTACTATTACTCTGATGCTATGGATTAAGAACTGTTGGTCAACTTAACGCCAGCTGGATTACATCAGCATGGCACTGAGCGAAGATGCTCCACCTGAAGAAAACTGCCAGCATAAATAGTTGGAAAAGGAGAGTGTTAGGGTGTTAATGCATTATTGCATTGAGGCATTGTGGGTTCTCCTATGAGCTGCTGTTTAAGCCATTGGTTCTCCTGGGAAAGCATTGGTCCTCACATGGAACATTGCTTCCTGGCTCTGGAGGGCAAGACGTGTGCTGCTTGGTCTCCAGGATGAACTCATCACGCTGCCTTCTTGGCAGGTACTTGACAGTGCTTGTCATCAGAGGAGCTCTGGGCCTCCATGTCGCTGAGGATGGCTGTGGTGCTTTTCAGAACAGCCCTGACCTTGTGAGTGTAACTTCTCGGCTCCAGCATAGAACCCTCAACCTACCAGCACAGCTCCTTCACCCCGCTAGCATGGACTTTCTGGCTTCCACCGCTGACCTTTGGGCCTTCCCGGCACGGATCCATAAAGAGACTGGTGTGAGTGCTTCTTGTGGGCTCTGGACCTCCAGTTGGACTCGTGGAAGGCATTTTCATGAGCTCTGGATTTTCATCTGGACTCATGTGGGACATTGCTGTGGGATTTAGGCTCTTGACTAAATATTCTGTGGATAGATTTTCTGCATTTTCTTATGTTAATTCCTGGTGACCATTATAAAATATTATAAACTCCATGTCCTGATTCTAATTGTTCTCTGCACAACCCCTAACTATATACCTGACTTCACAAATGAGAAATCTAGAGCTTCAAGGTTACCTAACTAGGTAGAGTGTGTACCAGAAATCGAACTCAGAATCCTGCACTTGCCAGGCAGGCACTTGTGCCACTGAGCTCTATCCCTGGCCCAGGTTACTTAGGTAGGAAGTAGAGCCAGGTTATTCTAAGTCCAGGAAGTCTGACTCCAGAGTTGGGGTTCTGAGTCAGTAACTCACATCAATGTATCATCATCTGTTTCGATATTATATATAGGTCAATTCCTTCCCGTATTTGACAAACATACTCTTACATTTTTTTTAAAAAACAAGCAAACAAAAAAGCACTGGTCAAAAAAAGAGACAAATTTGATTTCACAGGTCTCTTTAGCAGCTCTAAAATTCTATGACTCTAAAATTCTATTTTAAATAGAAGAAAGGTACAGAACATGACTAACAGTCAAAAAGTACAAGTTCACTGAAAAGGCTTTAAAACAAAAAAAAAAGTTTTTTAAATACAACCTATTGCCTCTCTGCACTTTAAGACTCTCTTTAACAAAAGTGATGGGAGGAAAAAGGAGCCAGATTCTTAGACTTTAAGGAAAGTAATTAATGCAGGCCAGTGTCACCCATAAATTCTTGGTCACCAGCCTTACCTGAACCCTCCTTGTTGGCACTCACCCTCCCTAGCAACTATTTCAAATGTACTCTCCTGATGTTCCACAAGCTGACAACACAGCCTGCCATCTCTTATCAGAGGTAGCCTCATCTCTAACAAGAGAAACTAAAGCCACTAGCAGGAACCTGCCTCCCCTTCTCACACTCAACAGAGATTCTTAGCCCTCAGCTATCACAAAGGAAGCTGCCATGGTACCTTCCTTCCTCCAGGGTCTGTTTCCTTTACTTCTTGAGTCCATTTCCTCACATCTACTCAGAGATTGTGTTCTTCAGTGCCATTCACTAATAATGTCTCTTGGGGCCAGGGATTTAACTTAGTGGCATAAGTGTCTGTCTGGCAAGCACAAAGCTGTGAGTTCAATCCTCAGTACCAAAAAAAAAAACGTTCCTATGATCTCTCCTGCCCCTGGTTCCTATCTATCAGCATTTAAACGTGTTTAACACTCCTCTAATTTTAAAGAGCCTCATGTTATAAAGCCACTAGTCCACATTCTACTCCAGAATCCACTTTTGCCAATTCTTTATCTTTCATTCATGCCTCTTTCAATTGGTTTTTGCCAACACTTTTCAGACTTTACCTTACTTATTCTCAGCAGTGATTACTCCTCTTCTTTCAGTTTATCACCTGTGTGGGAATGAATTGTACGTGTGTGTGTGTGTGTTTCCAATTATTATCTCGCTCCTAAGAGCTAGACCTATAATTAGTTATAACTGCTTATCAGAGCTTAACTTGCATGTCAAATGCTTTCCAATTCAACATGTCAAAATTTTAACTCATCTTTCACCTGTTCCTCCAGCTCCTTCCAAAACTACTCCTCCATACCCTAAACCATGATCCAAGAGTAATCTGTGGGTATTTTCTCAACTCTCACTCTCACCTCCCATTAACCTCTGAAGTCATAACAGTTTTTCCTTCTAAATACAGCATCTTTCCAATCCATTCACTCCTCCATCATGCCAAATCCAAGGGCAGGCCACAGTTCCTCTCCTGAATTACTCCATCAATATTTAAACTCCAACCTGTATCTAACTACAGTTTGCTTCCTTCCACTTCATTTCTCTTTCCATGGTATAAATCTAATATTATCTCCCCATTTAATACATTTTAATTGCTTCCTGCCCCTCTGGGATACAATAAACTAGTCTCTTTAGGCTGAATTACCAGGCAGTTAGTTATTTTGTGGCCTGATCTACTTCTCCAGCCATACATCACTCATTCATTTATACCTTATTTTCAGATACCTCAAACTGTCCTGCTCTGTCTGACCTGTATGTAGCCATTTCCCACAATGTTCTACCTATAGGATCTCTACCTATAGGATCTCCTGTTATCGAATTAGTTTTCAATTAAAAATCCTTAAGGAGTGTTCTCCCAAAAAACCTTAAATAGTTGCAGTGATACAGGCTCTAGCACTACCGTGTCAAGGTCTGAATCTTCCTCTACCATTAAATCTCTATGGTTCCACTGTTTGAGTGTAAATAGGGTCAATGATGATGATGCTAATGTCACAGAGTCATGATGATTAAACACATACTGTATATGAACTTCTGGTAGCATACTAAATGCTAAATGTTAGTTACATATATAAACCTTTGGATCTCCTCAGAGTAGGTAACTTTGCCAGAACCAACATGGCACCTATATGGCCTTCAGTACAGTACTTAGCATATTCACTTAGTGATATGTATTTGAGGAACTTGTTTTCCCCACTTGCTGCTGAGTATGGGACCATGTCTGATTTTTCTAACATTCACCCTAACCTCTTCTTGAGTATCCAGCACAGAGCAGCTTTCCAATACTTCAACAGAACATTCTTTTTAAAAACTTTCTTCACCAAGAAAATGAGAAGAGAAGTCATAAACTGGGAGGAAATATTTGCAAAAGACAAGTTCCACAAAGGATTGCTATTTAAAGGTACAATAAACTCTTAAATTTCAATAATTTCTATTATTAACCAATTCAGTTAAAATATGGACAAAGTTGAGCTAGAAATGTAGCAAAGTGGTAAAGCACTCATTTGGCATGTGTGGGGCTCTAGGCTCAAACCTCGTCACCATCAAAAAAATAAATAAATGTTTACAAAAAGGACAAAGATGCTGAACAGAGACCTCATCAAAGGAGATACACATGTGGCCAGTAACCATGCAAAATGAGTTTCAGCATCACAATTACTATGGAATTGCAGATTAAAACAATGAGACACTCCCTATACACTTACTAGAACAGTAAAAATTCCAAACATGATACCCAATGCTGTGGGAACATATGGAACAAGAGGAATGCTCATTTACTGCTGGTGGGAATGCAAGATAGTACAGTCACTTTGGAAGATAGGCTAGCAGTTTCTTATGAAACTAAGCATATCCCTGCCATATAATACAGCAATTACATTTCTTGAGATTTACACTATGAGTTGAAATTGTACATCCACACAAAATCTGTACATAGATGTCCACAGATGCTTTTTTATACTTATTGAAACCCAGAGAAATGTTCTACCTATAGGACAATAGGTGAAAAGTACATTGCTGGGGGCTGGGGATTTAGCTCAGTGGCATAAGCACCTGCCTTGCAAGCAGGCAGTCGTGAGTTCGATCCCTGGTACCGACAAAAACGAAAAAGACAAAAAAAAAAAAGAAAAGAAAGAAAGAAAAGTAAATTGTTGTACTTTTGTTGTACTTTCACACAATGTAATATCTTTAGCATAATAATAAAGGAACTATCAAGCCATGAAAAGATGTGGAAGAACCTCAAATGCATAGTGATAGAAGAACGGCTGAAAAAGACTTCATGCTGTGTGAATCTGACTATGACATTTTGAAAAAAGCAAAGGTATGAAAACAGAAAAATGATCAGTGATTGCCAGGGACTTGGAGCAGAGAAATGCACACACAGAGGACAGAGGATGTTTGGGCGGGGAAACTATTCTGGATGAGGCCATAACAGTAGGCACAAGGCAGCAAACATTTGTCCAAAGCCACAGAATGGGCAACACCAAGAATAAGCCCTACTGTAAACCACATTCATGGGGGATAATGATGTCGATGCAGGTTCATCAGCAATGATAAGCAACTCTCGTGCTGTGTATTGACGGGGGGGGGGGGGGGCAGCAGGTTGTCTGTGAACACCCTGTACTCTGGCTGGATTTTGCTAAGCATGAACCTAAAACTGTTGCTTTAAAAACATATTTTTTATAATTTTATTGTATAAATTGAGTTATAAAAAGCAATTTTAAGTCAGTGATTCTCCAACACTGGACATAATGAACCACCCAGAATAGAATAGTTCCTTAACTTTTCTAATAACTACCAGCTAGTACAAAGCTATGAAATTAATTACAGAGAGTGAATGCTTATAAATCTGTCACCACCTTACATCTGTGTCTTATATGGGTGTGGGTGACTGCAGAAGTTTCTTGGTGAGTGCTCTTGAAAACCACTGTGAAGGCTCAAGACACAGGACCAGGCAACAGGACAAGCTGTACTATGACCCTGTGGACAGAGACTGCAGGGAAATGAAGCCAGCGGGCAGAGCTGCTGCTTTTCATACTGCAGGACTGTTTTTTCCTCATTTCCAGGGTCCCTTTAACGTATTCCATATTACTTCAGGCAGAATCCACATGGACTCTTAGGTTGCTGTTATTGCTTTTAATTCTGAATAACAAACATGGTTAATGCTTTCATTTCTGTTTTTAATTCAATGCTGGAAATACCATATTTAAAAAGTAAAATGTGTATCTAATAAGAACATACATGCTACAAACCAAATACAAACAATAAGGTAATTTAAGACAAAAGTCAGAAAAGGAAATGATGCTGTTAATCTGAAGAATACTCTTCGCCCTTACTGTTCCTACATTTCACTAGCCAATCACAAGTTAAATACCTTACAAGTACAAAACACTTTGACAGATACCCTTCAGACTCTCCAGCCCTGGAGCAAGATTAACCCTCTCTCTCTTCACCTTCCTACAACACTGATCACACTTCGAGTTGCATGCTCAATGTGTGTCTTCTCCAGTCTGTTTGCACCACATGTCAGGTCTGGGATGAGATCTCAGCACACCCCTTGTGCCTGTCATTCAGATGGCCCTTGGTGAATGCTTAGTGACTAAATGAAAAGTTTCCCCCAAAATTGAAAAGCACCTGTGCCTCTATCATTGATAACTCCATCAACTATGTACATATAAGGATGGGTGCCTAAGCAGTAGACAAATTTGTTAAACCACTAAAGTAGATACCTATTTTGCTTTTAGAGAATGTATCTAGATTACCAACTAGACTTGGTACCAAACAGAAAAATGTGAACATTTTTCTTTTGCATAGCAGCCATATACCTTTTTAAAATTGAGATAGCACATGTCTTGGGGAAGAGTTTAAAGAGGTTACCATGCAGCACAGCACAGTGTCATTTAACTCTAATTCCAGTAATGAGAGGCTGAGGCAGGAGGATCTCAAGATCAAGCTCAGCCTGGGCAACTTAGAGAATCTCTGTCCCAAAATTTAAAAAGTAATAATAACATTTAAAAGGGTTGGCGATGCACTTCAGTGTAAAGGCCTGGGTTCAGTCACCAGTTATTCTCCCTGCCCCCTTTCAGAGTCAAACTTTTGAAAAGAACAGACACCAACTACACTGACTCACTTTCCCTTTTCCCCTTACATCAGAACAAACAGGCTTTCACTTCCACCATGACTGAGTCCATTTCTTCAAAGCAACCAACAATCCTGTACAGTCCAAGTCCAACAAACCCACTTGGTCCTCTCTCTTACTCAGCCACAACTACTCTTGACACAGCTTTCACTGTTCAGTTTCTCGGGGTTCCTCCTGGGACTGTAACGCACACTCATGCAGGGAATGACTACAGGCAATGGAAGAAAAACAGCTGGCTTCTGATGCCCTGCTTATCCCCTGAAAAGCTACTCATAACCTGAAGCAGCAGGGATAATTTAAACCCAGTCATCTTTTGAAACCCATGGGATGCAGGGAGAGGGGACTGGAGATGAAGATTCCTTATTTCTTAACTCCTCCAAAACAAAACAGCAAGAATAATCTTTATGACTTTTCCAAGTCCTACTCAAAAGGATAAATAGTTACCTATCCCTATTTTAACATACATTTTATAATAATAAATGTATTTATGTACTTAATTTGTGTTTAATTGTTTCTGTACTTAACCTACTTTAACCTCTTCAGTAATGAAATATAGTAGCTATTAATCATGGCCAGAAATGTCACATGACATTGATTATAATATTAAAAACAATGTATTTCACTTTAACATACAAGATTCTCAGGAAAAATTGGCAGGAAGCATAATTTTACTGAATTTACTTTGTGTAGTAAATTTTCTTTTAGAACACCACCAAAACTAGCTTTCTTCTCTCAAAAGAAACAAAAGTTTGCATGTGAATTAGAGTTCAATCTCATTCATCAGTGCTGTGCAATAGACTGAAAAACAACACATTCCTTCATACCAATTCCACAGCTTCTCAACCTGACAAACATTCCTGCCATCTGCCAATGGGACAATATCAATAACCCTCAAAATTGTTGCTTTCTCCACATAAAATGTTTTTGGCACCTTATCAGTCAACAAATCACTTTTTAAAACACATTAATAAAATAATTCAGACCGAACTAGCAACCCCAAATGGATAAATGCTAACTAACTGCAAATGCCTGTCTGTTTTTCTCTTAGTATGCATTCTGGTTCTGTACTGTTGACAGAAAAACAGAACAAAACACTCTGTCAGTGGACAACTTTGAGGTCCCTTTCCAAAGATGAAGGACACTGCTCAGTGGCACAAATCAGTCCAAACTGGTAGACGCAGAACTAACATTCTAACAGTCTACGGTTAAATTTTTTTTAATTATGATTTTTAAAAAATTATGAAATGTATTATCTAAATCATTTTTAAGTATATACTAGTATTAACTACATTCACTTTTTTCTTTCTTTCTTTCTTGTCGTTTGTTTATTTGAGACAGGGTCTCATTATGTGGTTCAGCCTCATCCTGAACTCACTATGTAGCCCAGGTTGGCCTTGAAATCCCCTAGATCCTCCTGCCTCAGCCTGTCAAGCGCTGGGATTACCAGGTTAAACATACATTCACATTGTTGTGGTAACAGTTGAAGGTAATCTTTCTTGTAAAGACTGTTCCTACCTTTACCATTAAAAGGTGTTTGGTTTTTAAAAATGAATCTTCTTCCTAAACAAAACCAATTAGTTACAGAAATAATTATTTAAATTTCAAAAATAGGGATTTGAGATAAGCCATTTTGACTTTATGGTATCATAAACGTACACACAAACAATGGCCAATAAGTTTCCACTTCTCAAATATGAGACAACCTGAGCATCAAAGTAAATAAAGGTAATAAGAGATGATAATCTGCTAAAGAAGGATACATGAGTCCATACATACATAAATAAGACAGAAGGAATGTTCTTCCACATAGTACAGTGGTGGAAAACCTATGGTATACACGTTTTCCTTTTAAGACAAAAGATGGCAATGTGTAAGCTGTTTTTTCTAAACTAAAACTTCAGTATTGAGGTTTAATTGCAGAGTTGGTTTTTTGTGATAAGTAAGTGGGTTTTGGGTTGCAGTTTGGGCACTCATCTCTAAAAAGTTCGCCACCATGATACATTAGAATATAATACAAGAAATGCAGAAAAAATGATGCAATAGTAAATCACCATTTTGCATCACAGTAATCATTTCTCAGGCAAGAGTGAAAGCATACAACAAATAAGTTACCATCTCAATGTATTTTTCCACCAACTAGTTAAAAATCACAAAGGGAAGAGTAATTACTTCAGAGTGCAATAACTTGGCAAACAACTCATAACCTAAATGACTTAACCTAAATAACTAAAGTTTACATCACCAGTAATGTAATAAACCAACACCTCCTAGCATGGTACACTAAGAATAGCAAGATTGCTTCTGTGATATCCCTGTCAAGAATACAAGACTTGAATCTAACTGTGCAGAAAACTAAAACAAATTGGGTAACAGTCTGCAAAACAAGCCTATACCCTTCAAAAATGTCCAAGTTATCAAAGCCAAAGGAAGGTTGAGGAACTTTTCTAACAAAGATATTAAGAGGCATTAAAACTACATGCTGGGCATCTGGACCATCTTAGACCAGAACAGGAAAAATTGCTATAAACAATATTAACAAGACAACTAGCAAAATCTGTATGTCTCTTAATAGAAAATAGTATTTTATCATTGTTAAACTTCTTGATTTTGCCAATTTTCTGAGGTTAGGAAAGTGAACCTCCTTGTTCTTTTAAAACACACACAAAATCATTCAAGAGTAAAGGGCATATCTGCACATACTCTCAAAACACTTTAGAAAGATGAGACAGTAATCTGTACTATGTAGAAAGAGAAAGCAAATGTGCCTAACTGCTGTAAGTTGGTGAAATTTAGAAAAAAGTTTAGACAATTTTTTGTACTTTGTTGAAGCTTTTCTTTGAGTTTGAAATTCCATCCAAATTTAAAAAGCTAAATATGTGTTATGTATATCTAGGTCCCTCCTATAAGTATTCTCACTATTTCGTACCTGCTTGAAATGCAAAACTTCTAAAACATCCTAATGACTTTTGAGCAGCTCCTCTACTAAACTTGACTTAGAGCAAGTCAAAGTCAAAGTCCTGGACAAGCCACAATTGAGATTGGGAAACTGTCGACACTGGCCAACTGTGTAGCAAGTCAGAGCTACTTAAACTAATCACTCCTTTTCTGTTAACTTTACAAAAATACTGAGTGCTAAATTCTCCCTACAATTACATCAGACATGTAAGGTGCCCACGAAGGTTAAGTGCCGTCCAACTTCTGCAGAGAACAATTCTCCGGCAAGTATAGCTCTGGTTCCTGGAATTTTCAAAAAAAAAAAAAAAAGACTCTAATTTGTTTATGTCTATGTCCTCTAAGGAAAAAGAAAATCTCCTAGGATCGACAGTACTCACACCTGAAAAATGTGACCTTGAACTTTTAAAGAGAAGGGTAATCAGTATTTTTTATAGAATAAGGAATAAGCACAAGGGTGTCTATGAACACCCACTAAGACCCATGAATTGCAAACTGCAGCTCCCCCCACCAAAAAAAGGGAAGAATTGCAAATTAACAGGAAACTACCTAAGTTTGGCAGTTCTATTTCTCACCTAACCAAAATGTAGGTTAGAAAAATGTACAGAAGCCACAACGTAAATGATTGACTTGTAACTAGTCAGTTCCCACCTACAGTTCTTCCCCAGCATTTGTGTCCTATGAATCCTCCCAAGAGAAGACAGAATTGTGCTGGAGGATTTAGAATCTTGATACTCCTCAAAGCATCAAGACATCTGCCACCATCAACAACGCCTTCGCAATTTAACCAACAACCTGCTGCTCCAGAAGCAGGTAGGCCTGCACAGCCCGTACGGGTCACCCGCCACCCCCACCCTGGATGTAGGTTCCCGGCGGGGGGTGGATACTCCGGGATCCCGCGGTCCGGGCTCTGACCTTGCCAGGGCCTTCCGACCCACTGTCAACCGGCGCGGGACCCCCGCATCCCTAAGTGCCCAGGAGCCGCGGGTGGGCGGGGCCAAGGGCGGAGAAGTTGCTGCGGCCCGCGACCACTGACCAGCGCAGGCGCCCGGAACATGTCCCGGACAGGCCTCAAAGCCTTGCGCCCGCACCACACGCGGAACCGGTGACCTTCCCGAGACCCTCACGGGGACTGCAAGCGAGATCGGAACTTCCGCACTCGACCTCCGTCTGTACTCACGGTTCGCCAGAGCCGCCCCGGAACTGCCGCCCGGAACATGGTCTGTGTTGCAGCCGGGCCAGTGGTCCCTTGGCCTCAATCTCCAGACCCAGGCGTCAGTACCCCACTGGTGATTAACTCTCGCGAGACTCGCGAACGACAGCGGGTGGCGGGCCGGGGTCGGAGCTCGCAGTTCCCACTTGCCCATTGGGCGGACGCACAGCCAATAAGGAGGGCGGAAAGCTAGGGGCGGGGCTTGGAAGTGGAGCAAAGGTGAGCCGCTTCCCGAGGGGGAGGGGGGCGTGCTCAGGTGCTGTTGTCGAGCTGTTCCCTAAGGGGCGCAGAGTCGGGCGCCCAGGCCATCTCCGCGCCGCCTGTGACCCCACAAAAGCCACCCCTGCGCTCCCTTCTCATTTACTCACTCATCTTGTCACGGTAGAAGCGTTGCCCCTCTGCGCTACACTTCTCCGGGGAAGAGGAACTCAGTAAACGGTAGGGGAAAATCTGGGAGCCGCGGACGTTGCCCCGCCCCGTCGCCCTCCAAGATCTCGGCGATGCCTTCAGCTCCAGCCCCTTGAACTCAAACTGGGTCTCATGGAAGTGGAAGAAGGGGGAAGGGTACTTAAGAAAAACCAGAAAGAGTATTTTATCAGAAACCCGGCAAAAATTTGGGATATATAGTAACGTCCTTCCCTGCCTCCCCACCCATGACAACAGAGGAGAGGCTTTGCCAATCCTACCTCACTGGCAGAGTTGGCACCCCCCAGGCTCCCGTGACCGAGGCATCGAACCCATGGACCCTGAGGACCGCGACGGATCACCAAAAGAGCAGGGCAGTGCCGAGAAACAGTGACAGGAAACGGCCTGACCAGATTTGCTGTGAGCACCGCACCGGACTTTGGGAAGGGGCAGCATAGAGATGGGTACAGAGGAATAGACAAGTGCTTGCAGCACAAACACCAGTCAATGTATGTACACAATCATTGACATTACAGGATTGTATTTTTGCGGGGGGCAGGATCTCATTAAGCTGCTTCCAACTTGCAATCCTCCTTCCTCAGCCTCCTCATTGCTGGAATTATAGGCATGCTACTGTGCCTAGCTCTATAAGCACCCATCTAACCTTTCCCACTCTGCTTTGGTAGCAGGACATGTGGATTCCAGGCTTATATTTGTGTCCGCTCAGTGAGGAGTTATAAAAATATTTGTCCAAAGAGAAAACAAAGGGAGAAAGCAGGAGGATGAAGGAAGATTTGCCACAGCCTGCTCTTGAAGAATGCCTCTGACCTGCTTGGAAAACTCCCTTTTCCTCTCAACAGGTCGATTTCAGAAGTAGCCCCTCCAGGATTCCTGGTAGAAACAGAAGAGAAAGGTGGTGAGACAGACTAAGCCAGGGCCACTGTTATCTGGGTGTCAACACTGGTGCTTCTTGTATCCTTGTCATCGATTCTAGATTTTCCTCCATCTGCCCACATGTCCTCTGGAATTATGGAAGATTCTGGGCCTGAACACCAGGCCTCCCCCAGCCAGCGTTGCTATACTGTTCTTGTCTGTTTGCTGTCACAACTGGGCAACAAGTGCTAAGAGACATTGAGTGAGTCCTCTGGGCCAAGATGGTGACTCCTTCTTGTCTTTGGGTCCCCGGTATAAGACACCCAAATGTCCATTTGGCTATGGAAGCCAGCAGCTCAATAGGATTCTTGCTGAGTCTTCTGGTGGAAGATTCCCTCCCTTTGGAGATGACTGTCTTTAACCCTGCAGGGCTGCATCAAGGTGCAATATGATTGAAATTGGACGTGGTATCCCAGAAGATGAACCCCATCTTAAAGTGCTGCTTTCACGCTGCAGTGGGCCCTCAGCGGACCATTCCAATACCTTTTAGTCCAGAAGAGTCTGGATGACACAGCATATGACTCACTCAGGCAGTCCTGTGATAATGGACTGATTTCTAAAACCTCCATTGCAAAAAGCAAATTGGGACCATGATCAGATGCAATGTTGCTTGAGATCAAGTGCTGGTGAATCAGATACTGGATAAACCCTGAACAGTGGGGCTGACTGAGGTGTAGCAGGAAGGAAAGGTAAACAGTACCCAGAATGTAGTCAGCCCTGTCAGGATGAATTGTCGCTCTGCCAGCATAGCAGGGTTCACTGTGCTCAACTTGCCTCTGTGAGACAGGGGCTCATTCAGCACAACAGAAGCCAGACCAGCCTCTCTAATGGGCACCTATGCTGCTAAGCTCATCTGCCTGTGTCTCTGCCACCATAGTTGCTGGATGTACTGTGGCTGATGACAGAGTCGAGCTGAGTTAAATGGTCAAGACATTTTTGTCTTCCTAATTATTGCTGCCTCTTCCATGGTAGAGGCTTTCTGGTGGGCATTAACATGTGATATACAAAGATCTTCATACTTTGCCCCCAATCCACATATCTAGTTTCATACTTCCATCCCATATCTCCTGTCCTCCATCTTCTTCCAGGCCACTTGTGAGCCAAGTAGTCCATTCATCACTACACTCCTTACCAGTACTAATTTGTAAACTTCTCTGCCCACACGAATAGATGGCCAAGCGCACATCCAAAAGCTCTACTCACAAAGTTTCCCTTCACCATTGCCAAGTGGGGCTGTAATGCAGCTGCTCTCCATTCTTGCTTGAATTCACAGAACCTCTGTACACTGCGTATGAGATTTTCTCTCTGCTAGCCAGAAGTTTGTAAGGGATCCATCCTATCTACAGCTATAAGTCTGAGCTGAGGGAGAAGGAAGACATAGCAGTGGATACAGGGTCCAGGGTGCCAACCTGTGCATCTTGCTGTGCCCTTTGATCATCACTGTGCTCAGCCCCAGATGTACCCATTCACCCTAAGATAAAACTGCTGCTGCCTGTCTCATGTGATTTGTTGGGTTTGACAAAACCTAGCTCTTGATGGATAACGCTGAAGTCCTATGTCCTATGATCCACTGCAATAGGACACTACGAATATTTTCCAAAAAGTCCATAAATCTCTATAGTATGGCCCTGCTCTAATGGTACAGGGGGCTTTGTTGCGATTCTCCCAGGGGAGTTTGCCATAAACTTTACACAGCATTTTATAATACTAGTGGCACTGAGGAAGCACAAACAGCCAAGTATCAGGACTGGCCACACCACAACCTGGGCCTGTTGCATTTTTTTTCTACTCTGAGCTCCACTTACAGCTGATGGTCCTCTGTGTAGCAGTTATACAGGCTGAGCCAGTATTTTTAGGCATAGGATACATTGTGTCCAGAACCCAGAGAGGCCTCTGGGGCCTCAGGATTCCTTTTTCATGGTGGGAAGTGCAATATGAAATCATTTGTCCTTTTCTTCAAATGGAATGTCCTGGCGCGCCCCTGACTCTGGACTTGTAAACTTATCTTCCTATTGAGGCAGACCCCTCTGTACATCTCCCACCCTCTAAAGCACATGTGTCAGGTGAAGGCCTCTAATGTACCAGTCACCCTGTGTCCATCTGCTGAATCAGTGTGATGTCACTGATGTAACACATCAATGCCATGTTCTTCAGTGTGTCCAGATGGTCCACATCTCTACAGACTGTGTTATGACAGATGCTGACTGTTACCATAGCCACAGGGCAAAACTGTAAATATACACTGTTGCTTGTTCCATGTGGATACACACTGTTTCAAAGGTTGGTTTTCTCCCAGGGATAGAGAAAGCTGTCTACATAAAAGGTACTTAAGGTTGTATCTCTCTCTGTTCTGGTAAAGACCAGCATTGGAGGGCTGGCTGCCACAGGGCTGACACATAGTTGTATTTTCTACTGTCTGCCTCCCTCCTCTAGGCTCCATCTGGTTTCTACAGGGACAATACTGGTAAATTAAAAGGAAAATGATACTTAAAGGCAAAATCCTTGAAGTTTTCCCTGTTGCATGTTGTCAAGGAGGTTTGCTAAGTTTTATACATGGTTCTCAGTTACCTGTCAGTCATCTCTAGTGTTTTATAGTATTTCCCTAAAGTGTCTTAGGGGACTTTAACAGTTGTCACCC